TATTTGCAAAATTTCGCACATGAAGATATCAAAATCGATAACCTTCGAAGGTTATCGATACGAATTTACTATGAAAATGATAATATTCGTAAAATTTCGCACATGAAAATATCAAAATCAATAATCTTCGAAGGTTATTAATATGAATTTACTACAAAAACAGTAATATTCGTAAAATTTCGTCACGTGAAAATGTCAAAATCGATAACCTTCGAAGGTTAGCGAAGACCTTCGAAAGATAACATATCGAAAAATAGCGAAATACTTACGTTAACGTTAACTTTCGAAAGTTTTACTAAAAAAAATTTCCTGATGAAAGACTTCGGCTCTATCTATTCTAAACCTAAAAAGAAGCAAAATAAGAACAAGGTATATAATTGTACAAAGGTACGTAAAGTAGCCTCGACACATAAATTGATTGTATAATAAACCGCGATCATGATATTCTGATTTTTATTGTATATGTTTGGACGTACTTTACAGGTTAAATTCACATGTTTTTTGTGTGATCTAATTTCTATATAAAAGTTTGTAGAACATTATTATGTAGCATAGATAATCGTTATACGTATTTTTTCATTTATTTTAGCCTGGAAATATTTCTATACCACATATGTTTTACGATAAGAACATGCGAAACGAGACTTGAAAAGGATATAAGGGTGAAGAGCCTGTTATTACCTATTAGTGCTGTTATCAAAAAATGTCAGTTATAGGACTTTGGAATCTCCGCCATCTCTGTTAAATCATCATTGTGATAACTGACAGAAGTGATCATCACCTCAAAGGGGTTTCATTCATGTGTCTATGACTCAATGCTCTGCATATTTACACACCTTAGTGTTTAGGCAAATGCCATTGCTCTGCAATAGTTATATATGACAACATTTTCTATGAAGGCTAATCATAACAGGTTTGAAGATCTCACTATGCTAAGAATCAGAGATTCGCTCAATAAAGGCAAGATTCCTCTAACGAGTTTTGAGATGAAGTGATATAAATAAGCAAGCTTTGAAAAAGACCTCATTTCATACCTTCCTACAATTTTTAGTACTTTCTACTAGCTTGCGTTAAAGTATGTATTATAAGTCGAAGACTCTCCACTCGGTGCATTTGTAACAAGTAAAATTCCACTTACTATGGATCTTTATTTTTTAAGAAACTCAAAAATAATTGATGATATTACTGTTAACTTTCGCATCCACGACTCAAATAATGATGATGTTCTCACAATTACAATTCTCAGAGATATCGAAGTCAACATGCTCCAAGCTAGGATCCGAAACCAGTTGGCGCCTCTATTTAATCATCTTCATGCTGAGGAATTAGATCTCTGACAAGTTCATCCTATAATCAACAGACATATGCAATGAGAGACCAGTGTTTCTGTTTATTTGATTCCTCCTGCAAATGTTATCAACATTCTCATATACCCTCCTAATCCTCCTACTGAAAGAAAATAATTAGAATTTTTTTTTATCTGTATTCGTGTTATGTAATAGCGATATAAAATTTATTTTATTTTTTGTATCAGTTATCACCTTCGAGGCAAATAAAGCAATAAATTAATTATGTGTCGTAGACACTAACTCTGTTATTACATCATTGTTAGTGACAAATTGTTATGAATTTTCAATGTGTATTTAGGACAGCATAATGCATTTATTTGAGTATTTATTTGAGCATTTATTTGTATATCTTATTCAGTTTACAAAAATATAGGGCCTTGCCTATGCTTTGCATAAAATACATATCAGTTGAGTATCTTTCAGAGAAAATAAAATGCTTAATAGTTATAAAAAACTAATTATTATATTAGACATAGTCTCGAATCTATACTTCTTCTACGAGAATATGAATCGTGATTTCAGCAGGAGGTCTGCTATTGAAATAATCGCTAACTTTTTTTTCAGGTTCCATATACACATATTCTCTATGTTCAACATCAACCGCATGAAGATTAAAAGAAGCATTTTTGTACTTATATAACAAGGTATTACAAATTTTAGTACGTAATGCACTGACTGATTTATTCGTAGAAATAGAGATTGAATGTGGCATACTAATCCAATATCCAAAAAATGTGCCAGTAGGTATAATAAAATATGCGAGATCGAGTTCAAACATTTTCTGTTATAATACAGAGATCTCATTAGTTAGAATTTCATATGTTGAAGACTCTGCTATTATTGTTTTTTTAGCAAAATGATAGAATATATCAAATAGACGTACCTTTTTCTTTAGATATGAGTAATAACGGAACAAGTAGTACTGTTCTGAATATTTAAGTGTCGAGACACTAGCTCCGCTATATATCCATCGAGTTGAATAATTTGTATATTAGTACTTTAGAGTATTGTATAATATGATGCAATTTATCCAAATACTTAGCTTATTTTATTTGTTATTTATAATCGCCAATGTATAGTTTTCGCAAAATTGGCAGGTTGATTCACATGTTTTAAGGTGTCATATTCACATGTTTTTCATATAACTCAATTTCTCACATATACACCTATTGGATATTTTTTCTAATTTTCATGTTTTTTCACCGATCATGAAACTCGCTTTTCCATATCGATTCTGCTATAATAAACTTTCAGACGTAATGCTATTTTGAGTTGAGATATTTTTTTTGAACGACGTATTAGCAAATATATAGGTGATATGAGATTTGTTTTTTTCGTCACTAAAGCATAGATAAAACCCACATAATAGCTCTAGTGAAAAACATTCTGAATGAGATCCTGAAAACTCTTGTTACCGATGTTCAGATTCCAAAACTTTCACCATGCTCAATATGTGACGAGAGTGAGATTTTTTCAAACCCACATACCATACTTAGAGCATTCACCATGACCCTCTGTGGCCACCTCTTCCACTAACTTTGTCTCGAAAAATATCTTTTACAATTAGAACCAAGGTGTCCTGTCTATAGGTGCAACAAAGATATCGAAACGACCCTCTCACCATCCGAAACAGAACTGCAAG